TCAGTGTGTTTGACACAACCCTGGAATATCCAGTGTATACAGCTTTAGGAACTGGAGGATCTGTGAGGAATGAAGTTCAGGACAGCTGGATAAGGAAGATCTGGAGCTGTGAGCACACCGGAAGAGTTTAAGTCCATTTTGGGGTTCTGCAGTCTGTGTTAGAATCATAGAATCATAGAATAGTTAGGGTTGGAAAGGACCTTAAGATCATCTAGTTCCAACTCCCCTGCCATGAGCAGGGACACCACACACTAAACTATGTCGCCCAAGGCTCTGTCCAGCCTGGCCTTGAACACCTCCAGGGATGGAGCATTCACAACTTCCTTGGGCAACCTATTCCAGTGCCTCACCACCCTCACTGTGAAGAACTTCTTCCTTATATCTAACCTAAACTTCCCCTGTTTAAGTTTAAAGCCACTACCTCTTGTCCTACCACTAGAGTCCCTAATGAAGAGTCCAACTAAGGCTCATGATTGCAAGGACAGGATGTCAGTCCTAAACCCCTTCTTCTCTTGGAAAGGAGCAGAAACGATACCATTTTTATGTAGGAACAGACGGTAAATTACCTGCATTCTATATAGCAAAGTTACAGGGCTGGTGTATGGCTCTGTCCAGCTTTGCAGCAAGAAAACCAAACCAAATCAGCTACTTGGGCTCCTCACTTCACACCCAGGTCCTTGCCCTCAATGATCCACATGTAACAAAGCCTACCTGTGATTCTGGAAACAGCCAGGTGCCTCTTACTCCCTTTGGGCAACCTGCCCAAGGCTGATTCTTTCCCCTTTCCCAGGTTACTGACACAAGCCCAGCAATGGTTGCACCCTCATGAACCTCTACAGCCCTCGTACCACCTCAGTAGACACCCTCAATGCCACTCTGATAAATACTGCTCTGGACCGTGGTAGGGATCTCAACTTATTTCAAGCACATTGAACAGATGAAAATATGGGTGAGAGTGGCAGGAGCACTACTAGAACAAAACCTGGGACCTGGGGAAGACTGGAGCCCAGGGTAACACAAGTGGCCAGGAACAGTCTGCGCTTGAGGGGCCACCCAAGCAAATACAAGCCTTCTTGTATTGTTTCGTGGGGGAGCCTGAAGCAGAAGCTTTGAGTCACTGGCTGTTTCCACGGAAAAGGTGTTAAGGTGACAAGTAAAAATATGCGCTTTTCCCCCCCTCAAATGTCAGCTCTGAAGCTTCATTCTGGTACTTCAGAGGCACTCTGGGGTCAATTTGGCTCATTCAGCCTCACTCGTAACTGAAACCCATGGTGAAACTTTTTCTTTGTTCTTTCTCAGCCCATCCCAGCGGCTGTCACTGAAGAGAAACAGGGATAAGTGAGGAAAGCATCTGGCCAGCCTGTCCATCAGTATCAGCACCATTGACGATGAGCCAGAGCAAAACCCAGCTCACACACTCAGAGCCATGCTGGCTCAGCAGAACTAGAAGGCAAAGTGTTTATTTTATTTTTTTTTAAACCAAACAACTTTATTTTGTTGAGCAGTAGCAGCTCTAACAATCAGTACACTTGGGGAGCAGTTCTGGTGAGTAGGGAGGTTCTGTTCTTCCAGTCTTTTTCTATGTAAAATCGTAACACAGAACCTGGCTTTGAGCTCCTCAGCATCTATACAGTAAGGCAACATGGTACTGCACCCCCCCTGCCTCTAACAGGGGGATGAAAACCTGATTTAGCCCTGTTTCTGGTGTAAGAAGGCAAAGTATTTCATTCTTGATGTTTTCGCTGATAAGAAATAATGGGAAACACCTTCCCTACAAAACACTGGTTTTTCTGTTTTCTGATTGTTTCCCCCTCCCCCCCCCGATATAGCCTAAAAAAGCATTTTCAGCCTCAGATCCAAGAGGAGTCTTTTCACATAGGGCATCTCTTTATGCCTGCTGAAATACTTATTATCTGCAGGATAATATTATCTGCAAGCCAGGCCCTGAGTTAAGGTTGCAATGAGAAGGCAGCAGGGCCTCCCAGCAGCCTTCTTAAACTGTGCTGCAGGGTTTCAAAGCAATGCAGCCTTCCACAGGCTGCCGGCAAAAATGTCAGCAACCAGCTGATTTTTTCTGCTGGGTCAGCAGCCCAAAACTGGGGCACACTGGTCTGAACCTCCTGTTTTATGGTAACTCCGAGCAACACAGCTCTGACATACTCGGCAGTGAGTTTTGCACTAGGCTTATCAGAAGTGGCACACCAAACTTCACCCCTGGCAAGGCAAAAAGGAATAAAAGGATGCCTACCCCAGCTGAGGCTGAACACACTTCAATACATTAGCAACAGCTTTTTTTATCCATTTAAGTGTTAGCACTGGAAAATCACAGAAAAGGGTGATTTAGCCAACAAGTGCTTCAAAAGGAAAGATATTCACCCTCTTCTCCACACCTCTTTCTTCTTTAACCCGGTGTATCTCTGCATGGCTCACTTTGCACATAGATAAGGATTTCTTTTGGTAAATTGCAAGATCCAAGCCCACATGACCCCAAGGCTAGCAGGGCTGGAGTACCCAGCCATGTCAACCCCCAGGGAACATGGATATGAGGTGGTCCAGCACCAATCCCGGTGCGATGGCCCCACTGGGAAGCAAAAGGGGTGCCTACACCTGGCTGGCCAGAACAGTCCAAACCCCAGCTGAGGTTTTGTTAGAAGCCATTCCCCTCTGAGGGCTGTGCTGCAGAGTGCATCCCGCAGTCCTCACAACACCCCCAGGATAAGGATGTGGCCTCGAATGATGGGCTTGGAAAACCAAGGGACAGATTCTCAGCTGGTGCAAATCAGCATAGCTTTACAGGAGGTTATGGAACTATCCCAATTCAGCCCAAATGAAGGTCTGGCTCAGAGAGGTGAAGAGACGTGTCGCAGCCACTCCATGGATCACTGAGTACAGAGGTTGGGCATCCCAGCTTCCCAGTCCAACAATACTGCCAATGTAGTTGGAAATCACACCCAATGGTAAGTCTTGCTCTGATCAGCCGAGAAATGCAGAGGACTAGTCCTCAGAACCAGAAAAAGGTTGTCCACTCCCCTCAATTCACCGTCTTCTCATCAGCAGCACCTTCAGATTTTGCTGCCCTTCATCTTTGGCCACCAGAGGATGCCAGCAGTCACGCAAGGGCTCTGCCACCCAGCTGGCCTTAAGCAGTTACATATGCAGTGGGTGACAGGCAGATATTTGCACATGCAGGGGACTTGGGTGAAACCCTTTAGCTGTGGTGTGAAGGCTGAGCAAAAACATGACAGTCCTCACAAGGCATTGGATCAGTTCCCCAGGCTTTCATCAGAAAAGCCTCCCATGTGCCCATGAGGAGCTTTTGTTGGTAGGTAGAGGCCCTAGTTTTGCATATCATCAGAAGGCGCAGTGAAGCGAGCTGCAGAAATGCCACATGCAATGCAGACTTAGCTAGACAGAGGCTAGGCTTCAGCTGGAGACCTTCCTTTCAGCCATCAGACACGCCGCCCGTATCAGGTACATTTCCACAGCTTTTAATATAGCTTAACAATTGCATTGGAGACACAAGAGAAGGCACAGCGTACAGGAAAAAAGAAATATCCCAAAATGATACCCTTTTATTTGTAAAGCTCTGATAAAATAACGTTCCAAATGACATCCCACTTGAAGACCAATGGAAACCAACCTAACTATGCGTCAGTCACACTATACAGATTGCATCTTACATTTTCAAGATGCCTAAATATCTTATGGAGTATTTACATATGTATCAGTTAGGTAGTAAAATTTCACCGTGATTTGCTTCTTTCCAGCACATACTTATTCAATGGCAAAAAAGAAAAATACCCGGGGATGCATTTGTCATTTTGTACAACACTTCAGAGCAAATGGCGAGGGTGATTTTCCTGAGAGAAGGCTTGTTCTTTGAAACTCTTGCTTTAACAACTGGAAATACAGAAAGTGGATGGGGTTTTGTTGCTCTAAAAAGCCTAAGGGTGCCTACTTAAGTTTTTCTTTTAAATTATTTACGTACCATTAAGTTAAAATGTTTACATTCATTCATTCGTATAAAAACTGTTGTTAAATCTTATGCAAATGATTTAACACTGATTGCTGCAACGCAAATTGCACTTCTTTAAAAAAATTATTGTATATATGGAAGAAAAGTATCTGATTGCTACCCTGTTTACAAATCTCGACTGACTTTATACAGTTCAGCCAGAAAATATGAACTTTCATAAACCTCAGTCACAGTGTACTTTAAAAGTTATATCGCAGTCTTGCGAAGTGAGTAAATATTTTAAACCAAAAAAAAAACCCCACCAACCCCAAAATCTCCTTAACCAGCTGGACCTTGGGAAACTTGTACCAAACATTGTGATTTCTTCCAGGGGCACAGCTGGGCTCTGAAGAGCAGAGCAAGGCACTCTGAAGATGGAGGGCGCAGAGGAGAGGACCGACAGGGAAAGACATCAAATGTTCGGTGTGAGACGTCTGCACTGACTTCAGCAGTACCCACTTCTGATGCTCGTTAAAAAGTATCTCTCTATCTCTGGTAATTAAAGCCTTTGCTACTCCCTCTCTGACACTGGTGGCTTCTGCCAGATTCTTGGGGGAGAAGGCGATGAGAGAGTGAAAACAACTGTACAATCAGAAAGGCAGTGCTGCTGGGTAGGTTGAGGATGTACTTCTGGAATCTATCAATAGGTCTAGGTTTATCTCTTCTTTCTTTTTCTTTTTTTTTTTTCTTTTTTCTTTTGTTTTTTTTTTCTTCTTGAGAGTGTAAGGCTGCATTAGCTACATTAGCTGTCCCCCGGTGGGCATTTGCTTTCCATATAATTTTCTTGCATAGATGAGGAATTGAATGCTTCGGCAGAGTCTCTTTCGGAGGCTGAAAAACACCTCTGCCACCAAGGCACGAAAATGATTTCAGAGGAATGGTCTTTGCACTCTTGCTGCCACTGCCACCGCTCCGCAGAAGACACCGTGCACCAACATCTGGGGGCTGCTGCGCAGTGCCGCGATCCAGCTTCCCTCATACCAGGTCATGCCAGAGCCAGGGCACACCAGGGGTCTTGTCTCACAGACGCTGTCACTTCGGCTGTGGAGGTCAGGCTGACTCCAGTGTACAGCCCATCTTGACCTGAATACTTAAGGTTGCTGCTTTCAGGACTGGTGCTCTCTCCTGGGCCAGACATCACTGACGAGCTCCCCTGGAGGGGCAGAAGAGTAAAGAGAGATTTTATTGCATGGGTAAGCTTTGCACACACTAAGGTCTTGCGTTAAGGAGTTGGAGCATGGTGGGCTCAGGGCACAGCCACTGTCCCAGCATTTGTGTGGAAAGTCAGGGTTTGTCCTCTGCTTGCCTCTGTGCCTCAAAATCCTGAAACTTGAAAACTGTCTCAGGGTCAGCCCACTCATTAAGTCCCACTAATGGGAGCAGTGTCTGTGTTTGGAGATGCGAACATGGTTATATTCACAGCATGGTGGAAAATAAAGTCTGGGATGTGCAGAAAAACCTGAAAATTGAACCATGATGAAGGTAACATGCATGTGTCCCGCTGCCCCCTACTGAAGGGACACAGAATCCAACAAAAAAAGGGTGATCCAGCAGTGGTAGCACCTATAGTTTTGCTTCCCCAATATATGTACTGGGAGAATATGTACTGGAGAAGCCCAATACATCCCAATGCTCCAGCAGCAGATGTGGAGCACCTCCTAGAAATCAGCCTTCTTTGGGACCCTCAGACCTTGAAGTGCCTAAAATCATTCCTTGCCCTTCAAAATGCTAGCCACAACTTTCATCCCTGTAGGACTGGCCACTAAAGAAGATGCTTTTTTCCTCTCAAGTAGAGAAACACAATGCCTTCAAACCAGGAGCCTTTTTGTTCCCCCACCTGCATGCACAAGACAACACACAGGGGAGACATGGTAGGCATAAAGATGAATCTCTGAACTGTGCTGGAACCAGTCCATTTATTTTAAAAGAGAAATGGAGAGTTACAAAGAAAACATCATTTTTTCCATGAGGCTGAGCAGATCCACTAAAGAGGAAAAATTTGCAGTGCCAGACAGTGAAGGGGCAATGTTTTCACCTGATAAAGGAAATGTTTAAGAGCTGACTTCATGCAAAATTAACTCTTGGATATGTCAACTTTAAAACCTTAATTTACTTGTTAATGGATAGTCTTCGGATGAGATTCCTTAAAAAGAAAAAAAGAAGGAAAAACCTATCCTAAACTGTGATTGCAGAAGCTTCCCGCCTGCTGTTTAAGTGAAAAGTATACGTATTTAATCATTTTACAAGAGTAGAGCTCTTGGGTCTCCTGGAGCCACGCCAAGCTAGCAGCCCTGACATAGGAAAAGCTAGGCTTCATTTATTCAAAGGTAATTTCCAAATGGTGCTGTGCAGGGTTCTTGTTGCCATGGTTAAGCAAGGGAAACCCTCACTTTCTGAAAGAGATACTCATTGCCAGTAGTCACTCTTATTTGAAACAACCTGGACTCCAGTTTTTTCTTTAGTTTTTATTAAAATGTTTGATGGCCACTATTCCACCCAGTCATCAACCAGGATTCTGCTCCATCAGGCACTACCTGAAAATGCAGAGATGGAAGGAACAACTGCTTGTCCCCCAAAACTAGCCAAAATAGCTCTAATCCTAAGAACAAATATGAAAGAAGAGGAATAAGATATCATATAAGAACAAATATGAAAGAAAAACCTAAAATATGGTTTACCACTCTCTCAAATACACACTTGCCAATCACTGACAATGACTCTCCATACCCTCTTGCCCTGTGACTATGCCCAGCAAATTCAATGAGGCCCATTTCATGCTTACCTTTGGGTCTGTTATTGGTCTTGCATCAGCCTAGTTTTTCAAAAAGGTATTTTTAATTACTAATATATCAGATGATAGACTCCTGATAGCACAAAAGACATAATTTTTAACAGCCTCAGGCTCCCTGTAGTGGAAGAAGGGTTTAAATTAGAGCTGAGCAGTGTTTGCTCAACCTGAGCTAAAAATACCGGGAGCTGCTTTGAAAGGCTCCCATTTGCCCATATTTGCTGCTGTTGTTCCGGTAGGCAAATATCTTATCATTACCTGTTTTCTCTGGGCTTGGAAAGTGTAATTCATCCTTTTCCTGATTCAGCCCTACAAAGGTGGGGCATGGGGACCCACAGTTTCCATGTGGTGTTATCAGCTACCCCTCCCTCGGGCACCCCAGAAGGGAGGACGCAGAGGCACGTCCTGTTTGAAGACTGCCCATCCCTGCCCAACCAAGGCCGGATCCTGGCTCCATTGAGCCAGGGCGGGCAGGACCTGGGCAGGACCCCTGGGCCTGGAAACCCCACCCCAGTAATGTCATGACAAATTCAGGCAGCTCAGGCAGCTCCCAAAGTGTGACATGGAAAACAAACTTTAGCTCATGAAAAAGACGCGGCTCAATCACAGCTCCGCTGCAAGCCTGCCTATCTCTGCTCTTATTTCTCCAGCATTAAGGCATGAAAGATGACAGAAGTTACAGTTAGTTATTAAAGGACATTTGTCAGCTGGAATAAATAATCTGAACAATGCTACTCGTCATTGAGCTCTTCTAAATCAAAACAGCAGGCTGTATCAATACAAAGGTAATGGATTTATTTTTATTGCTGAAATCTGATAATAGGATAGATAATCAACTGAAGGTCGACTTCCTGAGGAAAAAAAGAATGAAGCCTGTAGGAAAGAGTTTGCCTCCCAAACAAACAGAGGAAGGTAGTGTTTGTGTCTGCAAATATATCTGTATCTTTTTACCCCAAAAAAGCAGAAGCTGGTCATGGGGCAGCCATCAGGCAGGTTTTCTGGATCAGAGAGGGTCTTTCGGTGGAGGACCTGCCCACCATGTTCACAGGGAGATCTCAGCCAGAGCAGAGAGACTTAGACATCTACATTGTACCCAAACCTGCTGTCAGCACCCTGGAGCCAAATTCACTCCTGCTAAAGCTTGGTCCAGATCAAACCAGCACTTGAGGAGCAGCATCAGCATCTCTGGCTGAAGAACTCCTGCCGTCTTCCATGCAGTCCCTCCTGCACTGTCTTCCTATCACAAAGAGTGGGGATAGGGGAGGGACACCCCCATTTAGCTTTCCCCCACACCTCTGCAGGCAAGAGGCAAAAGCTCTGGGTGAGGAGTGGTGCTAACAGCTGGAGGGGGTGGCAAAGGGCCTTGATCTAGACCTTTGCTCTATCAGATAGACCTTTGCCCTACCCACTGCACAGGTTCAAAATACTCCGTGAATTTTGGACATTACACTGAGTCTGTAGTAAGCTGAGTCTCAGCTAACACCCTCTTCCTCTTCAGTTAGCCTAGTTTAGTTTTGCTGTGCTTAAATGATAGCCATAATCAGCTGAAACGCACTTGCAAAAACTTCTTTCACATATAACCGTGTTGTAGCAAACTGTGGCGTAGTCCTTAATTTTCCAGCCTCAGCTTCCCTGTGATAACTGCCATCCCCACTGGAAGCACTTTCTCACCACTATCACTCCCTGGTTTCTGAAGGGCAGGTCTCAGCATTGCAAAACTAGGGCTTTTTTTCCTGATTTAATGACCATCTTAGTACGCAAAGTTATAATTTCTTGCCAGTCCAATTGATCCTCATGTTTATATTGCAGACGTGTAAGCTTACATATCTTCTAATCTCTCCTTTGTGTTACAGCAACATAAATCTGTGGTTAATACTGCATTAATTTCCTAAGGGAGGCAACTTCCAGCGTGGCTTGGGAAAGCAGATGACCCCACTGCTGTCAAGGGCTGTATGAGTAATTGGCTTTATTGCTTTGGCAATAAAACAAACCAGAACAAAATATATGTGCCCATGTGCATACAGAACTCCTGGGTAGAACCAAGAATACTCTTTTTTTCTTGGTTTTCCCCACTGAAACAAAAAAGCTGGATTGATTCTTTCCGCTCGATACAGGATGAAATTGCCTCTTTCAGACATATGTACAAGGAGCAAAGAAAATGAATGAATGAATGTATGAAACTGAGTGGGGAAAAGGAACCAGCATCTTATTTTGTCCAGGAGTGAGGACTACTGCAGAAAAGGTAGGAGACCAAGAGAAGATTTAAGCCGGAATATCAGATCTCCCAGCGTAATGCCCTGACTCCCAGACTATTTGGTATTTTAGGTTGCCATGTTCCTTAGGCCTTCTGTTGATTTTATTCCACCTGGTTTAGATAAATATTTACTCATACCAGGACTGAGGCACCGTGTTCCCATTTTCCAGGTGAAAGTCCTACCAAGCATGCTGGCGAGCCTTTCTCACGAAAACTCCATTCTGATGGCTATGAAATTATTCTATACCAACTGAAATCTTATCATCAGATAGTCTGAAGGACCCTCGGCCATTCAACTTTCCAATATCCAGGAGATTCAGAGGTCCTTTTTTAAGAAGTCCAGTCTCTGGTTCATCCAGACTCTGTGAGATTCTGTACGGAGGCTGATTCCCCTGTAGCCTGCATGAACGTCCTACCAATCTGCTACTTAAAAAAGGAGCAAACACCACCACCTCTAACCATCTCTCAAACCCTCTTCTGAAAACAAAAGAAAGCAAGGAGACACTACTCAGATAATTCAGTCCAGGTTTGGGGGCATTTTGGGGATGGTTAGAACTGTATTTTCCTGCTGGCTCACCACCTGCCGACGCCATTTCAGTCAGCCCTCTCACTTTCGATTCTACAATACCGACGAACCAGTCCTGAACCACTTCTCAAGGTAAATCTCCATGGGAAGTAAGCACTGGTTTAACTTGCAAGACAACTGTCCTAAGTTATTCTATGGTGTGTGATTACGGTACTTCTGAGAAAGCTCCAAATTGGAGGCAAAGGGTGCAGAAGAGGAGTCTTCTGAAAGAAGAGCTCCCCTGGTGCTGCTGAGCCTTTACTGACATCAGCCCTGGCTCAAGGAGCCTCCATGTCCTGCCATAAAAAGCAGATTTTACAGCAGTTTTCATACTGCATTTTATCCTAATAAGGGAATAAACTCCTTCTAGTAATCACACTAGTTGGAGCCCCTGTATGGAAATGGATGGGTTTGCGTTACAGACCATGCCCTTTGTTTAGCAACTTTTTCTGCATTGCTTTTCCCTGTACATTTTCAGCAGTGTCAAAGAGAAAGCAGGTATAGACGCAGATGCAGGCTGCCTGAAACCTTCAAATCTTCTTTTTATGGGGATGTAAGGCAACTTCGTATATCGTGCAGCTGGACTTTTTCCATGTTAGTAATACAGGACACCCAGTACTTATACTGCTTAGAAAAACAGAAATAGGCCTAAATCCTAGATCGACATGTGAACTTGGCAAGTAGCCCCCTTATGATGGGACAACGAAATATCTCCCGTCCAAACACTTCTACATTTTGGGATGTTTGAAATCAACTTTGCACCCACAGCAATTCATTAATCATATCTTTTAAATGTTTAAACTTTAGCTAGAACATAAAATCAACATTTAGGGTCCTTGCTAGTTTGTCTCAAAACTGGCATCATGGAGGATTCCCTTCATGAAACAGATAGTCTCAAAGACATTTCCAAGAGTAATTGCCACTCTTCTCTTTTTCTGCCCTCCCTTCTTTATTTTACTTTATAAGAGATAAAGGCAGGGCAATAAGCGAATATTACTGACACAAATGAATTCTGCTGAATTTCATTTCCATTAGATTTCTACATAACTGGGAACTCTTCTGGCAGCCTCCCATAAAAAGCATAATAAATTGCTTTTGTACCAGTAGAGGAATTAGTTTTTCTATGTTTCATTTAGCGACAACATTGCTGTGAATTTCACACAACGCTTTCTAAAACGTCATCAAATTTCTCTGCCTAATATCAATTTGGCATTTTTCCCCTCTTCATGGAATAAAGGCTGCAGAAATAAAAACAGAGCAAAATACAAACAAGTTGCCATGCCAGTTGTGTAATGCATGGGGAATGAGCCAGGTTGCTCTTCCAGCAGGTGCCCGTGTTTCAGCAACGTCACCAGCGCCACTGGCAGGAATCGATGCCATTCCCCTTAAAGTGACCAAAGATTAAAGAGCCCATATTCATCCATCTAAGGGGTTTTTCCTTCCTGACATGCCCCAGAGAAGTTTGTTCTCCTTGTGCAAAGCCATTGACTGTTCTAAGAATAAATACAAACCTTCAGGCTATCAATGGGTCAACTTCAATGGGAAAAGAAAAAATAATCAAGGAAAACAGAACTCTAGCAAAGTATCTTTGCTTCAGCATGTGATCAGATTACAGGCTGCCTTGCTCCAAAATGCTGACATCCCTCCACTCTTGGCAACTTCAATGGGCCTTATGAGCACTCAGTCCCTCCCATGGGATTTAGGCCCATAAGAAATTATTTCACTTCCTTTGCAGCTAGTGATCATGTTCCCAAATGATGTCTGGGGCCACAGGAGCCAGTCTTAACAGCCACCGCTTTCTACTTTCAACCTCCAGTCTCCCCAGCTCTCATCCCATCAAATTGCTGATGCTTGGGCAAAGCCAGGAAGGATGTGGCTATACCCACAGCATGTCCTGACAACTGCTTGCTGCAAATCCCATCCTCATCTATACACATATGGGGCTGGGGTGCAGGGGTGGGGGATCACTAGTCCTTCATGGGGAGGGAGGGCCAGGGGATGCCCGGATGTCTGGTCTCTACTGCAGCCACACTTCAGCATGTTTCACAGCCTCTCTCCATCACTTACTTTAATTGAAATTTTTCACAAGAGGTAATTTGCAAGTGCTTTGCATAAGCAGGGCACATCTGATCAAATCATGGGTGGGGGGAAAGGCTGTGCAGATGTTATTATGCTGCCTGCTGGATACAAGGAGACAGATTTCCCCAGCCCTTGAGCAGGTGCCCTCTCCCAGCCTGATCTGCTGCAGAAAAATGAGGGAGAACTGAAGTCCTGGGACTGGGGCTTGCTGTTGTGTAATGAAGAGCGCTCTCAGAGTCCCTGGGAGTCAATCTTAGTTGCCGACAGCTCTCAACCAGCCTTTTGGCTCACAAACTGTGCCCCTACCTCGCTCCACACAACTCCACCTGGCCAAATCATATTACAAATGGTACTATTAATATTATAACACAAAGATTATTAATAACAGGTCTGTATGGCCTCTCCTTCCCCGAGCAGCATACGGGTGTCCTGCCTACAGCCTACACCACTGCCTCCACCTCAGCTGGGACTGTGCTTATAATTCTGTCCATTTTATAAAAAGCTCACAATGTTCCTCAGAATCAGTAATCCTGCTCCAGGCAATGTAGCAACAATTTAAGGGAAAACTGGCTGCATTTTTCCCTTTACAAATATTAGGTGAGAGCCTAAAAGAGTACATAGTAGTTCACTGGGGAGAGCCTGAAACCCAGTAACAGTTCACTTTTTGGTTAGTGTTTCTCTTTTTTTGATGTGATCTGTTTATTTTACTGGAGTGACAGGATTTTCTCATGTCAAAGACAAGCCCTTTTAGTAATATCCTTGTCTGGCAGCATCCGAACCCAAAACCCAATGCCTCTGAAGCTGGGTGGCCCTGTCAGTCCATGAACAATTGCATTTGCTAAAAATGTTTTTTTTTCCCTTCCCCTTGTACAATGAAACTTTGTACATCAAGAATTAAACTATTGAAAGGAATTTGTATGTTGGGAATGCTGAGACATATTGAAAAATAGATATTATAAACAATGTCTTCTTACTATTAATAAAGGAGTAGAGAAAGCCACATTAGGAAAGCTTTTCAAAGAAATGATGTGGCAGAGTAAGGGATACAGAAGGCCCAAGGGCTGAGCGTGGATATGGATATGCATAGCCAAGGGGTTAGAAATTAATCTACATTAAGCTTCACAATTTTAGCAGTAGTATTTGTTATCACACATGCTGAGTGAAGAAAGGAAGTTCGAGATGGTTTTGACTACATGATGTAAAATAAGGATCAAAACTAAAGGGATTGATCAGCATTTCTCTGGTGCTCCTCTGGAGCTCAGTGCTGTCAGATGCTAAGCATCTGGCCCCAGAGGAGCCCTCTGCGAGGAGAGAGCCGATCTCCTAAGCACTGCAACCAGCAGGGCACCCCAGCCTGGTTTCATCTGGGTCTGGATCAGGGGTTAAGTGCATATCTTAGTTTAAAACAAAAGCCTTTATGTTTCCTTTCATAAAGCAGCATAATATCTTGCTGGGGTTTACCAGTCCATTGGGATAATGCATATATATATTAAACAGCTTTTAGAAAACATAAGAGCAGCACTGCCTTGAATTATAAATTCTTATCAGAATTCAGAAGAGGGGTACGTGCATGATTGTTTCTTGAAAGGGCCATTCAGACATGATTTTTGTCTTTTCTCCAAAAGAAAACCTTTGAGATGGAACAACCTGAACATTTCAAAACAAAATATCTGGGGTTAAGCTGTGGTTAACTTAATCATAAAAATTATATAGATCTTAATTAAGAGGTTCGTAAAGTACTTCAGCTTGTAGTTCTGTTTACAGCTATACGTAATATCCTCCGAAAATCTTGTTCCAGTATCAGCTAACAAAACTGAAAAGTTTGTTTAGATTATTGTTCTGCTAGATAAGATAAAAGCTGTGATAACACTGCACAGTGATCAGACTGCTTACAGATACTGACACCCGCTTATGGCTTACCCCAGAGGCTGCAGTCTGTGTGCCAGGAGAAGTGGTTTTGCTGCAGTCATCTGAGTTAGAAGACGTGGATGTTGGAGTCATAGGAACCGCGGTAGTACTGTTACCTGAAAGATCAGGAATTGGCATTTAAAACAAGTATTTTCCACCAGCAGAAAAAAACTCCTGCAGCTCAACTGTCTTATCTTTTTATATTTACCAGAGCATGCCTTTGACTTATTTATGTTCTTAGGTTTTCGCTTCCTGGTCTGAATTCCTTCTTTTTTCATAGCAAGAGGTCGGGGAACCTGAAAAAATTAGATTTCCACACTAATAACAGAGTTGTATATGTACTGTAATATCAAAAATCAAAACACATTACAAGATCAAATGGTGATACTGAAAATGCCTGTACAGCACATCAATTTTTCCTGTGTCAAAATACCAATTCCAAACATTTGCCTTTTATTTGGGCAAAGCAATGGGTTGTTTCAAGAAGTATTTTAGCTAAATAAAGAAAGCAGTGAAGCTTTGTCCTTCATGCGAATGGAACAGTTTTTCCAACACCTCAGTCAGTCCACAGATAAAAAGCACACTTCGATAGGAAAACAGCATTACTGCATTACTTGGCCCATAGGTATTACAAAATTAAATTGGACAGGGTATATCTGATCCCTGATTCCTTATTCCCATCACTTCAGAATTATCTCCAGTGACTGATTCTGGAAAGCAAGAATGCACACAAGAGGAAAAAATACCCCTCTCCCAGTGGACCAGCTACACAAACCAGATCATCGCCAGTAAGTGTCTCAGAAGCTTTAGGCCACTAAAGACTTCATATTTATTCTCACAAGAGGTTCAGCCCATAATACAGCTTTATAGCATCCAAATTTATATTTATAGGGAAAAGATGTTCCAAAATCAGCTTTGTATTCTGTGCCACCACAACGATAATAATTGTAAGAAAACATTGATTTAAAAAAATGTTTTAACTTAGTGATGACATGAGTTTGGGGAAAAGCAATTCAGGCATATCCTTACTATCATTATAATGCTTAAACCTGCAATATAATTTACTTTTTTGTTGAGGGCTAAACCAAGTCCCAATGACTCCTAATGCCCATGCTCTTCAAACACTTGTGCTTGACTGTAACTTAATCCACTAAGGCATAACAGGATCTGAGTTTCACACAAAACATACGCCATCACATTCAGGATACAGCTAGTTTCTTCCTCTGTTATTGCCTAGCAAGGGCTGAAATCGCATTTAAATTTTTGCTGGCATAGCTATGACTTGAATTACATTTAAAGTTTTGCTGGCATAGCTATGTCTGTCCATGAAAAATGGTCTTATTAAAGGTCTGTAGTTTTTTTCCCCCCACTGAAGAGCTGTTTTAAATCCCATTGGCAAAAAGACCTCTGCCGCTCATCTGTTTCTTTGTACAGATCTGTTGGGAAAGCTACAACAGCAAACACATAACTTGTCACAGGCATAACTTGCTTAAATTGTTTAACCGTTTTCTCATGTCGTGCATTTTTTTGGTCATTTTATCCATTTTGTTCATTGTTTTTTAACTCCACAGCCAAACCATGAGCTGATACCATTAGCATCAACAGAAACATTGCCCCAGCTTGAGGAAGCCCAACACCACCCCTCGAAGCCACTGAGCGCCCTATGGCAGGAGGACCACCCCTTCTCCAAAGGAGCATCAGAGCCTGTGGGGAATGCTCCTGGGTGAAGAAGCAGCTACTTACCCCGTGGAGCTTCATGTAGAGGCCGCAGGCATTACAGACGGGCTCACCCTCCGCGTTCCTGCGCCACAGGGTGGTAGTCGTGGTGTGGCAGTTAGCACAGGACAAGCCCAGCCGCCGGGATGAGGGCTAGAGGCAAGCACAGGCAAACACGGGCATCAACAGGCAGGGAGGAGAAAATGATAGACACCTTTAAGTTCACGAAAAGCAACTTAATGCACAGTGTGGACAGTAGAAGCTTTTTTTATAGCATCTATCAGTGACACCCCAGAATTAAAACGAGATTAACATCATTTCAGAGATGGGAAAGCTGACGTGAAGAGGTACTGTGAGACTGCAGCTCTAGGCAGTTGCAGCAGAGGCAGAATTCGCATTTGGGAGCTGCTGATGCAGGGACCTCTGTTCAGACCACTGTGCACTGGCTCTTCCTCCAGCAGGACAGCTAGGATGTCGTCCATCCAGATGAGGAGAAGGCACATCACTCCTGTGCCACCTCTCCAGCTGGTTCAACAGGCAATGAGGCAGCTCTGAACCTGCCAGCAATAATTCCCACTCATCGGAAAAATTAACCCCTTTAACCATCTGCCCTCAGCAGCACCACAGCTAGAGAAAACTTTCCTGGGCATCCCAGACATAACACATACAACAGCAGCAGCATCTTCATAAAAAGACCTTTTTATCAGTGCCCATTTTATCCTTACATGAAAACCAACATGCCCTGGGATCATGTTTTACAGAGCAGAGCTCCCCCTCAGCCAGCAGAAAAGCTGGTGGGTGACAACAAGGTCCCCACTGCAAACAAGCCATTTATGACACTCTTCCGTGGAGTTTGGAGCCAAGATGAAGCAACCTTGTTTCATCTTGAAATAACCGTATAACCTGGAGCTTTATGGCTGCAGGCTGTATATCATAAGTGAAGGCAGTCCTCATAAACATGTGAAACGAAGGTGAATGGGTTATAAAAGTCCCTGTAACAAGTGATCTCTTTTACGTTCATCATAAGCAAAGAATTCCAGCTACATCATAAATCTAGTCTTTTTCAAAGTATCGCATTGTCAAAAAAAAAATAGAAAAGAATCTGTGCCTAGCTCTGTGTCTGGCAGCTGAACAAGTTTACATGGAGAAATCAGTTTTAGAGGATTGCATTAATCTTATTCTGACTATAAAGCACCCATAACCGAAATTACTAACTAAAGGGTACAATGCCCTTCCTCTTGAATCATTTACTGCTCGGTTATTAGAAGGAACTCGGTCACCTTTGATACCACAGAGCTGCCTACCACTTGGGAAAGCAATAAAAATGTTGTGAGATTAAAGAATATTCCAGAGTAATAACTGAGTTTTGTGAATTTTACTCATTTGAGTTTCCTTAGCAGTAAGCCATCATGTTACACCACAGCTCAGAAAGAACTCTAGATTAAATATGAATTCTGTAACTGAATCAGTAACTCATTATTAATTGCACAGCAAAAGAAGAACAACCTAGCCAAGAGTAATATAGGCTGAAGTACACATGTATGCTTTTTAATCTTAAAAATACAGGTCTCATGAAAACAGAATTTTTGACCTCATTGTTAAATATGTATGGACATAGCTTCTAACTAAATTAGAACTTGATTAAATGCAAGTTTTACATGTATTGGGTAAAAAAGCTGGTCTTAACACATATGCTTAATTTTCTTTCTCTGCAAGTGAAATGCCCTCAGATATTTCATTGTATTAAATCTTTGTTTCATATGCAGTCTGGTATAAACATTCACATATTTTCTTCCAATTGCTTTTGCTCATTCCTGTGCCTAAACAGACAGGGGGTTTAGGCATGTTTTGAAGCTAAAACTACTTTTCTGCTCCAGGAATTTTATCAGAAACTTCGGCGCAATCTAAACATGTTTAGCATTTTCAAAACATTTTCCCTTCTCACCTACATATTTCCAACTGTATGAACACACAGTCATGCTTGATTTATAGTTATGGCCAGGGTACTCGGTAGGGATTGTTACGCAGAGCTATCTCAGAGTTATTTTGCCAAGGTGTCAGGCTGAAATCAGACTGCGGTTTCACTCTGGTTTAGTCTCCTCACTCCCATCCCCCTTCCAAAAAGAAGAAGGGAAACACAGAAATGCCAGAGCTGGGTATCAGCTACTTGAAGTCTGCATTGGGACGGGGTGCCATGGCCAGGAGAGCTCTGGCACTTCAGACAAGCAGCAGATCTGGCCCGCCTGCTGCATTTGCCCCCAGTAATGAGATAACACTTTGTGTCGTGAAATTTAGTGAACCACCAGCTAGAAAAAAATGGACAGCCAACAGGAATTAACCTCTTGCTTACAGTTGAATTAACTCTTTGGCTGAAAGAAAAGTTGTGTGTACTTGAGCACTTACTGTCTGCTCTGATCATTGCGCATTTGGTTTTAGTTCCCTCCCTCTTCCCATAAGGGCATTAAATTCAAACGGTTGTGAAATAAAGACCAGGACATGTTTTAATGCTAAGAAATCAGGCATGGAGGGAAGCAGCTGTCGATTGAAAGGCCAGTGGGTTTGATACACTGTCTCCATACACAAGGGTCTGAACATCAACTTGGATTATATCGGCATGATTTATTGTGGCTCGCTCGGTAACAGCCATTACTGAAGAGTGTATTCTTTCTTTCTGCTGACCTCCACCCAGATTTGCTAAACATAACGTGCAGTTCCCACTTGTTAAATTTTCTCCTTGCCTATTCAGTGCCAGCCTGAGTTATAAACAGGGGTTCTGGTTTGTACTATTTATTTCCCCCCCTAGTTTTAGGAGTATATTTTTAGAAAAATTGCCGCTCATTTCTTAGGAGTAAAACAAAACAAAGGCTATTATCATTGTTTAAACAATTGGTTTTCTTTGAATTATATACAAAACTTGCTTACATTCCCAAGGATCGAGCTCTCAGCAAACAAAGCAGGTCTGGAGAAATTCCGAGCCCTCTAAACAAACGCTTTCCAACCTTGATTTTATTTTTTTTTTCTGTTGGAAACGTCCAACATCAGCAGCACAAATTTCTTCCAAACCACTGATGCCCCCTCACCAACAGGGCCCATCCTCTCAAACAGCCAGGCCCACCCATGCCCAGTGTGTGACCCACAGGGAGCAGAGGGGGATTTTGCCAGCGTAGGGCCCAGAGGTGGGCCTAGATGGCTACCAGCCCTGTTGCCCCTCACGGTGACCACTTTGGCCTGACAACCTGGTCAGGAGCCCCACTTCAGTGTTCCAGCCTAGGGGATCACCGGGCTAACACACTCTGATTGCCCCTGCTTTCCCCCTAGCTAACATTGACTGGGGGTCCCGCGGGGCACGGCTCTTCCCCCTCTCCATCCCCACTCACCACTCTCTTCTGGGGCTTGATGAGGGGCCGGCTGAGGCCGTTCATTTTGGTATAGAGCCCGCAGGCGTTGCACAGGTAGTTCCCGGTGCCGTCCCTCCGCCACAGCGGGGTCTGGATGGAGCCGCAGTTGACGCACTCCCGGCTCTCGGACAGGTCCTCCAGCAGCTCTGGGGGGCA